TTGATATTCTTTGCTAGTTAGCGAGTTATTAGCCCAGTTATAGATAAGTCCAGCAATGGGGAGTTAATGCTTCCTACGAGAGCACAAAACGTGTATGCTACGTTTGTCTTTGAAAAGCCAGTCAGATAAAAAGTTGATGCCTTAATTAAAGAGGCAGTGTTGTATTTTGAGGCAGGCTTGAATATGCAAATAAGCCTATAGGCAGAGGTGTAGCCTAAATTGTCAAATTCTCTGTATGGTAATAATAATTGATTTGATTTTGTAAAGTTGTTTCTTGCATAATACAACACAATACAATGCAATATACAATCACCTATTTGTAGTGGTGTAAAGTACTTAAGTAAAAATACTTGAAAGTACTACTTAAGTCGTTTTTTGGGGTATCTGTACTTTACTTTACTATTTATATTTTTGACAACTTTTCCTTCTACTTCACTACATTCCTAAAGAAAATAGTGTACTTTTTACTCCATACATTTTCCCTGACACCCAAAAGTACTCGTTACATTTTGAATGCTTAAAATGGTCAAATTCACACACTTATCAAGAGAACATCCCTCGTCATCTCTTACTGCCTCTGATCTGCTTCATTTGTAAATTATGTCTGAGTGTTGGAGTGTGCCCCTGGTTATCTGTAAATAAAAAAAACAAGAAAATGGTGCCGTCTGGTTTGCTTTATATAAGGAATTTGAAATTATTTATACTTTTACTTTTACTTTTGATATTTAAGTATATTTTTGCAATTACATTTACTTTTGATACTTAAGTATATTTAAAACCAAATACTTTTAGACTTTTACTCAAGTAGTATTTTACTGGATGACTTTCACTTTTACTTGAGTCATTAAATATTAAGGTATCTTTACTTTTACTAAAGTATGACAATTGGGTACTCTTTCCACCACTGCCTATTTGACCCATGCTGTTACAGACCAAGTAAAAAATCATTAATTAATGTCAAGCCCTTCATAATGTAAAAACGTTTTTAAAAGTCTCATGCAATGTAGGCCTGCATTGAAAGTCATAGAAGTCAAAAGCTATTTCCATTTGATCATGTTATGGGATTTGCTCCATTGGTTTTGCTGGGAGGCCTACATTATGCTCAAATAGCCACAATAGCATATTGGCTACTGTCTGAAACTGTAAGGGTACAGCCTCAGTGTTCACTGTAAACGCGCGCCGGAAGTTGCACAACATTCTCACAAAGTTCAAGTTTCCGCTCACAAAAAAAAAATGCTCCCAGGGACTCCCATTCCTAGTGAGTTACCTGTCTATAGTTGTCTGACTGTATGAAGTACAATTATTGATTACTGATGTAGTTAACACAATCCTGGATGTTGTAAAATCCAGCAGGACTACAGGAAGTAATCTCCAAGGGTAAGATCCTCACTCTGTCCAATCATATAGTTGATGAACTCCAAAACCTGATTTTGAAACACAGAAACCTGTTTGTTATGGAATCTGTGGCAGCGGGGAAAAGTGTGTTAGACATTTTTCTATCGACTTTCGCGATGAGGGAAAAACAATCAGGGAAGCTCTTTTCCTCTGAGCCTGTGTATGCCTTTGCTGAAGTGTCAGTGAATAAGTTACTGTTCCCTCTTCTCATCCCTGCCTCTTGTGAAATCTCTGCAGTCTCCAACAGCTCTTCACAGCTCTATGACAATGTTGGGAATCTGTTCACAATGGTCCATCAAGTCAATGACAACATTGGAAAGCAAGCAACATCTTAATCATCTGTTCTCCCCACTGAGTCCGAGGTTGAGAAACAGAGTGATGCCAATCTTCCTCAGATTGAGGCTGTTCAGCTTCAATTTAAAGGTAGACGAGATAGAGGTTCTGGTTAAAATGTTCCTATTACATTTTAAAACACTTGTATTACAACACTATTGCAACACTATTATTGAAGTGTTGATCATGGGTATGCTGTTCTCTTGCCACACAATATAATAATCCAACAATAACAATATTCTATCTCAGTTGCTAATGACTAGCAATGTGAAGTGTAGAAGGAGTTAAAGAAATGCACTAACCATTTTGTCAATTAACATTGTCTTTTTTTGTATGGTAACAATTAGCGCTCCAAAAAGATCAACAAGAAGAAAAGCCATGCCTCAAATGAAGCACAGGACCAGGCTAAGTTTCCACACGAGGATGACTATTGCATACGTATATCCATACATTAAGACCTCTCTGCTATATATGTTTAACTGTGTAAATAGAATTATAAATATATAGTCCCCTGTAGCTCAGTTGGTAGAGCATGGAGCTTGCAACGCAAGGGTTGTGGGTTTGTTTCCCATGGGGGGCCAGTATGAAAATGTATGCACTCACTAACTGTAAGTCGCTCTGGATAAGAGCATCTGCTAAATGACAAAAAAAAACATGAAGTTAAGTTTAAATATTCAAAACGAACTGAAGTTATGGGACAGTCCTGTATTGCAGCCCCTTTTGGGGCTAGGGTTAGGGCTGGTGCTAGGTTATATATTGAAGATGTAAAATGACACTCTAATAAAGGCTCTAAAATTTGCTCTGAAAGATTTGGAGGAGGAAGTTGGAATGGGTTGGAATGTTTATAAGGGCAGCTCACAATTGGCTTTCCAAAGTGACCAAAGTGCATACTGTAGCTGTAACAGCATTGGGAGCGCTCCCTGCTTCTTCCCAGGAAACGAAAAAGGCATGTAAACAGTGAACAGCCTGGATGCTTACATTGTGTGTATATTTATGAGAGCTGGAGTTCATAGGAAAGCTTAGTCAGCCAACATTACATTGACATTTTAGTCATTTAGCAGACGCTCTTATCCAGAGCGCCTTACAGGAAAAATTAGAATGAAGTGCCTTGCTCAAGGGCACATCGACAGATTTTTAACCAAGTCGGTTCGGGGATTAGAACCAGCAACCTTTCGGTTACTGGCACAACGCTCTTAACCACTAAGCTACCTGCCGCCCCGTCTGGATGCTTCACACGAGTGTGTCTTCACACATTCTCCTTATCTTTTGCAGAACCAATCCTTCCTGATTACACTGTATGGATACAGGTAGCTCCCATTCTGACCAAACAGAGATTAGAAAAATTACACATTTCTTGTTACACATTAAAGGTTTATTATATTTACATTTTAGTCATTTAGCAGACGCTCTTATCCAGAGCGACTTACAGTTAGTGAGTGCATACATTTTCATACTGGCCCCCCATGGGAAACGAACCCACAACCCTGGCGTTGCAAGCGCCATGCTCTACCAACTGAGGTACAGGGGACTACATGCTGGGGGGAAAAACACTTTAGTGCAAAATATATGGAATCAACCGATTTAAGGCAAATAACAGATCAAGTATAGTACAACAATTGTAGAAAGTTATTTCCCCATCAGGTTTACTAACAAAACCATTCTGTTAATAAGATCATTTTAAACAAGGACACACTTGATCCGCACTAGACCTATATAAATACAGTACGTTGTCACAAGTACCATTCAACCTTCTTAAAATACACACATTAGAACATGTACAATGTCTTACTTACTTCAGCGTGAAGAGGATCTTTCATCATCAGGGCTAGACTAAATATATAGATAACACCTTTACAGACTTTCAGCAAGCGTGATGTTTATGACACTGTAAGTGATGACTAAAACACACACAATGCTGGTTAAGATCAATTCACACTTCTCATTCTGATTTCCTCATTCTGTGTTCTTTCAGAAGTTGTAAGAAAACAAATTCCCTGAGGAATTCATTGTATGAGTGAGTCAACACTGATTTCTAAAGGGAAGAATACTGGTAACACAAGAAAATGGCTGGTGGGACGTTTCCACTTGTTACGTTTGTCTTGTGTTACTAAACACTAGAATAGGAACTTCCTAAACAGGGGATGACACATCTCTTGACACCTACCAGGAAATGACTTTAGGGCTGACTAATAACCCTCTGATGCCGGAGTCTGGTCGAGCGCTAACGCTCTCGATTCCCAGACCACACATGCCTCCAAGGCGACGGGATCAAATCGCAACTCGGCCGTTCGTCTAAAGCCCTTCCTCACTTTTTGTCTGTACATGTCTCCCGACTTCCTACTGTCCTGTAAAAATATATAATAATAAATAAAACAAAGGGAAGGAGATCGGAACTCCTGGTCTATAAAAAAAAAAAATCTCTCTGCCAAACCACATACAGTACAAATCTCTTGACACCCACAAGGAAATTACTCTAGGGGTGACCATTTCAAACAATAAAAAAAACACATAAAGTATAAATACATTATAAATAAATAAATACATGCATACGCAAACATATAAATTCAAATACACAAACAAATGATATCCCAGTACTTCATAAATATATAAAAAATTATAATAAGTTTAAATAAGTATCTCAGAGACTGTCAACAGACAAATCAAATCAAACAGCGGCCATTGTTTATCTCACATCAGAGTTAGCGGGAGTGCAGGCGGGGACTTGCCACTATCTGCCAGCTATCAGTGTTGCTTTATCTCAAGGAAACTCTGAGACAGCCATCAGAGGTGGGGTCGAGTGACAGGACAAGCTAAGAACAAAACCCTCATGGGGAGAAAGAGATAAAGAAAAGCAGGCACTCAGTCCTTGACCAGTTGCTATTGTACCAATTGATGGGGAACAGATAGAGCAAGGCTTGAACCAGCTCCCTGCAGTTACAGGATGAGGTCCAGACGTTGGCAGATAGAGGGACGCTACACAATTGGTTTTAATTCCATCCCCTATCTCAGATAAATAAAGTGCTCCGCTTGCTTCATGTTTTCCAAATTCCCGTTTGACCTTGATTGACAGATTAGATAGAAAGACTGAAGAAGACTTGAACAGAAATGAAATATGTTTCAGCCAGGCTACATCACTACGCAGTTGCCTCAGAAGTCCAATAGGCTTCTGGCACGGACGACCCACCTCCGTTCCTCCATCCATGTCTGCACAGGTTTTGCTGCTGCTGTAGGGTGCAGCACAGCCCCTTTGTCCTGGCCTGAAAGGGTGCCGTTCAGCCCCTCTGTCCTGGCCTGGAAGTCAGGTGTTCGACGTTGCGCAGGCTGCGTTTTAGGTTCTGTGTGAAGTCACGGAGCTGCAGCAGGGTAAAGTGAGTGGCAACCTGAACCTCGTACTCCCCTGGGAGGCGTGAGGCCAGCCCCGAGGCCTCGTACTGGGCCACACTGCTCATCTGGCCCGGCTCCTGCATCTGAACAACACAAAAACACACACATACAGAAGGTTATTAACCAAAACGAACATCTCAAGTGTGATGTTATGAGTGTAGGACCTCTATGATATGTGTGTATCTGTGTGTGATCTTGTGCCAGTGTGCATGCATCTACTTCTATTACTCAGGGAGTTTGTGTGTGTGTGTGTGTGTGTGTGTGTGTGTGTGTGTGTGTGTGTGTGTGTGTGTGTGTGTGTGTGTGTGTGTGTGTGTGTGTGTGTGTGTCAGTCAGTCTCACCATGTTGACCTGGGCCAGCAGGTCTCTGATGTCAGCCAGGAGTCCTGTCACCTCGTCAGTGGTCACACGCTCCTTCAGCACACCCAGCACATCCTGATACAGCTGCAGTCCCGCAGACATACTCCTCAGACACACCTCCTGTAGGGGGAAGCACACAGCAGGTCAGACAACTAACCTGGACCATGTCCAGTAGGCTAGGACACAACGCAATAAGGAATCGTGTCAGAACTATTCATGTCAGCTTTATTATTCTATCTGCAACATTCAGGAGAACCATAGCATTGTTTCACCTTCACAAACACATGCAAACACACACACACACACTCACCAGGGTGAAGTCGATTTGGTTTACGGGTCTGCAGACCGTCCTGAGTTCTGGTGCTGCGGGGATGCCCAGGGAGGTCACCATGGTCTGGTACTGCATGTTCCTATACTGGCTGGACGGGTCAAGGGTCAGGCCCTAGGAGAACAGGAGTGGTGTGGTTACAGAGCTGGAGCCAATATGTAATGCATGATATACACTACCAGTCAAAAGTTTGGACACACCTACTTATTCAAGGGTTTTCTTTATTTTTACAGTTTTTTACATTGTAGAATAATAGTGAAGACATCAACACTATGAAATAACACATATGGAATCATGAAGTAACCAAAAAAGTGTTAAACAAATCAAAACATATTTTATATTTGAGATTCTTCAAATCGCCACCCTTTGCCTTGATGACACCTTTGCACACTCTTGTGTGCACTCGATGGTTTTTGCGACTGCACTTGAAGAAACTTTCAAAGTTCTTGAAATGTTCAACATTGACTGACCTTCATGTCTTAAAGTATTGATGGACTGTCGTTTCTCTTTGCTTATTTGAGCTGTTCTTGCCATAATATGGACTTGTTCTGTATACCCCCCTACCTTGTCACAACACAACTGATTGACTCAAACGCATTAAGAAGAAAATTTATTCCACAAATTAACTTTTAAGAAGGCACACCTGTTAATTGAAATGCATTCCAGGTGACTACCTCATGAAGCTGGTTGAGAGAATGCCAAGAGTGTGCAAAGCTGTCAGCAAGGCAAAGGGTGGCTATTTGAAGAATCTCAAATATAACATATATTTTGATTTGTTTAACACTTTTTTGGTTACTACATGATTCCATATGTGTTATGTCATAGTTTTGATGTCTTCACTATTATTCTACAATGTAAAAAATAGTAAAAATAAAGAAAAACCCTTGAATGAGTAGGTGTGTCCAATCTTTTGACTGGTAATATATATATACATAACCTGCTGTTGCTGACTATCAGGCAGTGATCAGGTTGTTACTGAGTTAGTGAACGGTGGGGAGGGACAGAGGGGTATGTGTGCGTTGAGAGCACTGGTTAACAGAGAGTCAACAAGCCAGAGCAGCACACGCGCACATCGTGACAACTTTTTACCAGTTGTCGGTAGGCTATTTAGGTTGGTAATTATGGAGACACCCTTTTTCCATAAAACATATTAACGCGCTAGAACTGATATAACGGCGACAAAGCATTTGGAAATGACTTTAGGCGCACTAGAGCGCTTTAGATAAATTCGCTCCGTGGTGGTTTAAATAAACTGCATTCTAATGTCGACCTTTCTTATGGATAACCGTATCAAGCGAAGGGTTTTACTCAAGCTCAGGTCTATGGTCTGGAACGCTGCGTGAGTGAGTGGAAATTCCAAGCATCTGCCTCTAACCCTAGGAAGCTCTTTGCCACATTTTCCTCCCTCCTGAATCCTCCCCCCCCCCCCCCCCCCACCCCTCCTCTCTCTCTGTGGATGACTTCGTCAACCACTTTGAAAAGAAGGTTGACGACATCCGATCCTCGTTTGTTAAGTCTAATGACATTGCTGGTCCTGCTCACACTGCCCTACCCTATGCTTTGACTTCTTTCTCCCCTCTCTCTCCAGATAAAATCCTGCGACTTGTGACTGCAGGCCGCCCAACAACCTGCCCGCTTGACCCCATCCCCTCCTCCCTTCTCCAGACCATCTCCGGTGACCTTCTCCCCTACCTCACCTCGCTGATCAACTCATCCTTGACCGCTGGCCATGTCCCTTCCGTCTTCAAGAGAGCGAGAGTTGCTCCCCTTCTCAAAAAACCAACACTCGACCCCACTGATGTCAACAACTACAGACCAGTATCCCTTCTTTCTTTTCTTTCCAAAACTATTGAGCGTGCCGTCTTTAGCCAACTCTCTTGCTATCTCTCTCAGAATGACCTTCTTGATCCAAACCAATCAGGTTTCAGGACTGGTCATTCAACTGAGACTGCTCTTCTCTGTGTCACGGAGACTCTCCGCACTGCTAAAGCTAACTCTCTCTCCTCTGCTCTTGTCCTTCTAGACCTGTCTGCTGCTTTTGATACTGTGAACCATCAGATCCTCCTCTCCACCCTCTCCGAGCTGGGCATCTCCGGCGCGGCTCACTCCTGGATTGCGTCCTACCTGACCGGTCGCTCCTACCAAGTGGTGTGGCGAGAAGCTGTCTCCGCACCACGTGCTCTCACCACTGGTGTCCCCCAGGGCTCAGTTCTAGGCCCTCTCCTTTTCTCCCTATACACCAAGTCACTTGGCTCTGTCATATCCTCACATGGCCTTTCCTATCATTGCTACGCTGACGATACACAACTAATCTTCTCCTTTCCCCCTTCTGATAACCAGGTGGCGAATCGCATCTCTGCATGTCTGGCAGACATATCAGTATGGATGACGGATCACCACCTCAAGCTGAACCCTGGCAAGACGGAGCTGCTCTTCCTCCCGGGGAAGGACTGCCCGTTCCATGATCTCGCCATCACGGTTGACAACTCCGCTGTGTCCTCCTCCCAGAGTGCGAAGAGCCTAGGCGTGACCCTGGACAACACCCTGTCGTTCTCCGCCAACATCAAGGCGGTGACCCGCTCCTGCAGGTTCATGCTCTACAACATTCGGAGAGTACGACCCTGCCTTACACAGGAAGCGGCACAGGTCCTAATCCAGGCACTTGTCATCTCCCGTCTGGACTACTGCAACTCGCTGTTGGCTGGCCTCCCTGCCTGTGCCATTAAACCCCTACAACTCATCCAGAATGCCGCAGCCCGTCTGGTGTTCAACCTTCCCAAGTTCTCTCACGTCACCCCCCTCCTCCGCACACTCCACTGGCTTCCAGTTGAAGCTCGCATCCGCTACAAGACCATGGTGCTTGCCTATGGAGCAGTGAGGGGAACGGCACCTCTGTACCTTCAGGCTCTGATCAGTCCCTACACCCAAACGAGGGCATTGCGTTCATCCACCTCTGGCCTGCTGGCTCCCCTTCCTCTGCGGAAGCATAGCTCCCGCTCAGCCCAGTCAAAACTGTTCGCTGCTCTGGCACCCCAATGGTGGAACAAGCTCCCTCACGACGCCAGGACAGCGGAGTCACTCACCACCTTCCGGAGACATTTGAAACCCCACCTCTTTAAGGAATACCTGGGATAGGATAAAGCAATCCTTCTAACCCCCCCCCCCCTAAATTGTAAAGTGGTTATCCCACTGGCTATAGGGTGAACGCACCAATTTGTGAGTCGCTCTGGCTAAGAGCGTCTGCTAAATGACGTTAATGTGCCCTTGAGCAAGGCACTTAACCCTAATTGCTCCTGTAAGTCGCTCTGGATAAGAGCGTCTGCTAAATGACTAAAATGTAAAATGTAAATATGGAACTCCCTCGCGTGCTTCTGTTATGGGAAAAAGTCCACAATGAAAATGACATTAAATGTGGAAAATGATACGCTGCATTTGCATCTGTTGGCCATCAAGTATGCGATTAATTTATTTGCTATTGTAGGCTACTGTAGCCTAGCATTTGATACAGTACAATACATATGTTGAAATGACGATATCACTGGAGTCATGCAAATCAATTTGTGCCACTTGTGTAGCCTATCTGGAGCTGGCAAACGGATTTAATAAATAGCCTATTTATCAGTGTTTTGTTGTAGCCTTGTGTTATTATGCAATTATTAATGGCCATGTTAGTTAATTAAATTGGAAGTTATCAATTGTGATCATGGTCACAGCTCTATCGCGAATGTATCATTCTCCATATTTAATGTCAGTTTCGTTGTGGACTTTTCCCTGAAATTAGATGTTGGCCTTTCAGGGGCTAAAGGCTACCTGCATCTAGCTCAGCAAACCATGGCAAAGTTGAATTGCAATTATAAACCCAGATTTTAGTCAGTAGTCTATTGAAAAAACAAGTACATCTCGAAAATAGGCCATTTATAATGGTTTGTAGTCTTAACATCTGGCACATAATGAAGGCACAATTGCCAGAAAATAGTGTAACATTCGTTTTTTGTAGTCCACATGTTTCTTGCACAGAGATTGAGATCCTCTGTCCAACTTTCATCACTCAAACTCTCCTGCCAGATGTATCTATAGTTATGCACACGAGCAAACAAGATTTATTTACCATTATATAAACTCTGTGGTTTGAGCCCTGAATGCTGATTGGTTGAAAGCCATGGTATATCAGACTGTGTACCATGGGAATGCACAACAATTATTTTTACATTTAAGTCATTTAGCAGATGCTCTTATCCAGAGCGACTTACAGGAGCAATTAGGGTTAAGTGCCTTGCTCAAGGGCACATCAACATATTTTTTTTCGGCTCAGTAATTACAATTAAATTTTTACTATTGTAATTACATTGTTAACCAGTTTAGAATTGCAATAAGGCTCCTCAGGGGTTTGTGGTATATGGCCAATATACCACAGCTAAGGGCTATGTCCAAAGAACAGCCCTTAGCAATGGTATATTGGCCATATACCACACCTCATAGGGCCTTATTGTTTAATCATAGCTGTCAAAACAATTTAAATCTACATTGATGGAAAATGATCTGGAGAGTTTATTAAGGGCGATTTATATTTTATCTTGCAACATTCTTAAACTTGCAATAATTATTATTTTGATGGAAACCCGAATTTTGCTTCTAAGCCTACTTTGTTAAAAATTAAGTTGATATTCCTTCTTAATTCGCTCAATAATGTTATGGAAAAAAGGTTTCATGGATAAATGTGGCAACTCCTCTGTTTCAAATTTTTTATTTTAAAGGGCTAGTTTTCAGGCCTTGTGGGCGTTGAGGGGGGCAACACCGGGACACAGTGCCCTTCCTCCTACTTGACAAGCACTAGGCCTACTGTCCTGCAACAGTATGGAAAGTAGCTACCTAGTAGCCAATATCAGGGTGACAGGCAGTGGCGGTTTTACACGGAGGCCGGGGGAGGCCCGTGCCTCCCTGGAAATGTCCCTGGCCACCCCTGTGGCCCCCCCGTGCTGACCAAATAAAAAATTATGAATTTATAACTATTTTACACGCGAGCGCCAAAAGCAGGAACTAATGCAACGCTCTACACAGCAACGTTCTACACGGGTAAATTAGAGTGGCGCACCCGAAGGTCGAAGGTAAGCAAAACGATTTAATATCATAAGTGACTTGTTGTTCTTGCACATAGCCTACATGTTCCTTTTGTTCCTCACACATAAATCAAATCAAGTTTTTAAATGTCTGGTCTCGATTTGTTTAGAAATGTAATCATATCTAAGCAAACTCATCGAAGCAGAAGCAAATATCCAAATGTTAGTAGGCTATCCTTGCTAGGTCTACACAATGTTGTGATGTTAACCACGTAACTTCATCCGTCTTGGCTGTTGCATCGCGATAACAAATACATTTTTAGTAAAGTAATCAACAGGTTATCTGCCAGTGTTAAGTAGGGAGGGATGGTTAGGTAACAAAATGTAATGCATGCCCCTACGTTTTTTCTTCTTCTAATAGTTATCATGAAACGAGGAAGGGACATAAAGTCATTTTTTGCCCCAGCAAACAAAAAAGTTAGATAGAGTTTATGATTTTATTCTTTTGAATTATCTCTGCCAAACATCTATGTACTACAAATCTTCAAGCTCCACAGATGTTTTATGGCATCCACTAAACCTCTTTAGATATTTGTAAATTATACAGTGTGATACCTTTCAACGAAAGTTTATTTTATTTTTTACCAACTATGATTTTTCCTTTTGAAAACAAGCAAAGCAAGAAAAAAAAGAAACAAAATCACTCCAATCATTGCACACTTGTGTCGTTCAGACTTTGCAGGTCCAGCTTTGACATGATGATCTAACTAACACTAATATTGTAACTAATATTGTAACTGAAATATGTATGATCCTATGATGAGCGATTGCTTACTTCCCTTTCACTCTTAAAAAATTACTGAAAAAAAATGTGTATAAAAAGGTATATGTAGTATATGTTTGTTTAGTGAGCATTCATGCTGTCATTTTTTCCTAATGTGAACTATGGTGGAAATGTGCTGTCCTAAATGGACTTGCCCATATATGTTGTAAAGCCTTTTTTTGTACACCTGCTCATCAACTGACAGTGAAGTACACAAAGACACAGACACACACACACACACACACACACAGACACCTGTAATATTCTTGTTTTCATGTTGTTGCTGATATCCATCAGTGTTGTTCATATTGCTACATTGTGTTGACATGATTGTTGCTTTTAAACGAATGTTAACTTAATGTTTATTGTCTGCATCCTATTGGACTACTGGATGTTAATGTGTAACACGTTTCCCTGTTTATGTGCTTTAGCAATACTGTATGTCAATATGGTCATGCTAGTAAAGCCTCTTTGAATTGAATTTCTTTTCTGATTTGGTTTATTTTACCTAAATGGATACAGGGTAGTGTGTTTTGTTTATAAATCACTCAGAAAGTTTTCTTTCTTAAAACAAAATGTGGAATCAACTGTCCACAGTAGTGGGGCTTCCATAAATAGGAAATGGCACATTGTTGTACCCTTTGTTGTATCCTGGAGTTTTGTTCACATTGAATATGAACCCTGTATTTGTACCCTGTACTTTTTATTTTATTTTTATTTTTTCATTTTTATGGCACTATCTCTCTTGCATCTGCACTCTTGTACAAAATACGTGTTATAATAAATGTCATATGATTTTAAAGTAAAATAAAGTTTATAATCTTTGAATATCATGTGTTGCCAGTTTTTTTATGTGTGCCCCCCTGATTAAACACTGGCCCCTCCTTGGCCCCCCTAGTAAAATGTGTCTAGAACCGCCACTGGTGACAGGCAGAGTAAGAACATGCATACAACGCATGAAGTAACATCACACATATCATAAAAATAAAAATAGTACAATTTGTAACTTAAAATGTACAATTATTTGTGTAAAACTAACAGTGAAATACAACTCAGACTCATCCTCTGGCTTATAAACAGAAGAAACTCGCAGTACGGTAGCTCAATAGTAGTTGCGTGAAAAGAAACGGAAGGGAAAAAAACACCGCTCAATCAAAACCATCAAACCTATAGCAGAGCACTTTCGACACACCCATTCCTTTCGACACCCACTAGCCCATAATCCGGTCGTCATATTGGGATGCAGCTACCCTTTCTCGCCCAAAAGGGAATTTCATTTTTGTCTAACGGTCTAAGAACATTGGTTGCTCCCGTGGGACACCGGAGTTCATATCCCGCGGGTTACAAGTGTTACACATTTACCTCCAGCTATAGGTGATAGGTATTGTTCTTTATGAGATAGCCTGCTTTGCATTACTCAGTTTAAATGTGCCCTGCCGCCTGCTAGGACTTGTTTTATGCACAAATGGTTTAACATAATCCAACGGTCATTTCAACTCAAATCGAGCATTAAAGACCATACAAAGCTGCGTATTTTTACCAATAAAAGTTGGCGAGAAATTACATACAGTAAAGACAATACATGCTAGGTATAAACAGGGCATCATCGCCGTCCCATGGACTTACCGTGATGTTGACACTTGACCAGTGAACCACAGGGATGTTGCCTAATATTTTTTCGACCAAACTCATTGCGTCCACTGACTTCTCCGGAATAGGTGCGGACCGTGCCAGAAAAGCTAAACAGCAGAGCAGACCTACAACTTTGAGAAAGAAAAAACTGTTGCAGAACGATTGTATGATGCTAGAGATTATTAACAAGTTGAACTGTGAGGCACAGCCAGTGCCGCTCAGAACCGTATTCAAGGCGCACATGCCATAGTTCATTGGAGGTACGCAGTAGCCACGCACAATAAAAATGCTTCCGAGCCTTCCACTCAAAATACGTCGAAACTATTCTGATTTTCTTCAGACAATTTTGCAAAACAGAATATTGTTTCCAAGTAAAAAAAAAAGTTTCATCAAGCAGAGTAAATACACTAATTAAAAATATAATATAAAATAGCACTTACTTTTGAGAGTGTTCATTCCGCCTCAGTATGGTTAGTCTATTTTGCTAAATATTCTTTCTTATCTGCCATTTGAAGGAAACGTGAAGTATTTATATGAATGAAAGTACGTTTCATGGGAATTTCCACTGAAGGGTTATTTAAACCTGCAATAGTGAGTGACTAAGAGATGATTAGGCTACCTCCTGAACAATGGCAAATACGTACATTTCACAATATAAATTAATTGAATTAAAGCTGCGCTTATGATTAAAAAAAGGCAAATAGCCCATTAGGCTATCAATACAGAAACTACATTTAAGCCTAATTGTTCTATTCTGCTGTTTTATATTTATTATAATCTATTGTTATATTACTAGGCCCAATATTATTTTATTTCCAATTGCTTATTATGAAGCACTTTGAGCTGCATATTATGAGACAAATAAATGAAACAAAGCTATTAATTAATTACCATAATCTTTAACTGTATTTACATTTCACATTCGTTTTTGAATAAATTAAATAGCCTGAAGTGGACGGTCGCGCTCCGGACAATAGGCGATACATGAAAATAGCCATCTGCGATTTATAAAACAGTCGCACAGCCAAACACACTTCAGATGTTGACATCGTGGCGAGCTATGACTGAAAACAACCTCAATACATTTTAGTGACGTTCATGTGCGCTACATTACTCAGAAAAAATAAATGTACTTATTTTCACAACTCCAGTTGTAGCTGTTTGAAGTTTCACTGATGCTACCCTCTGAGTAGGCCTATATAAAGGAAATAAGGTTGGTTTATCTAATGCAATTAAAGATTAATATCCCCATTTGTGAAATCTTTATTTCCGCACCAAGTAGCCTAATACACACCAAGAACAGTAGTCCTCCCACTGGGCACAGACGTCGATTGGTGTTGGCATGGGCACTTCGCTTCATGAATGTGACAGGAAATGACTGCTATATTATATGACTGGTATATGACTGCATTATTTGACTAGTTGTGATGAGAGGCAGGAGGAACAGGAGATTTGAACAATGGGGTAGAAAAAATCAAACTAGCTGAGCTCAATGACGCACAGTTCTGAAGAGTACCAACACATTCTTTGATTTTCTAAAAAAGGTATTTTGACATGAGTTTCCAGAGAGCTGCATTTCAGAAAGCATTTGTCAAGATGTTTTATTGCATTTCGCAGGAAGAACAATCAAGGAGGCAACATCATTCCTGACGGAAAAGCTACAAATACAAGGTGCTCTGTGCCAAATGGCTCTGTACAAATGAGTGTTCCACAACGAGGAATGAAATTGACAAAGATGTTTTATTTCTGTTCCGGCCTCAGTCAGTACAGATACACCAAATGCTTCTCCCAGCAAGTACTTAAAAAGTAGAGGGGACAAGGTTACAGTGACACCTATGACCATGTCTAAAACAGGGACAATGAGGACCAGTGGTAGGGTTGAATTGAGATGTTCTGACTGTATGTTAGAATTGTAACATACATACAGTTGAAGTCGGAAGTTTACATACACTTAGGTTGGCGTCATTACAACTCGTTTTTCAACCACTAAACACATTTCTTGTTAACAAACTATAGTTTTGGCAAGTCAGTTAGGGCATCTACTTTGTGCATGACACAAGTAATTTTTCCAACAATTGTTTACAGACAGATTATTTAATTTATAATTCACTGTATCACAATTCCAGTGGGTCAGAAGTTTACATACACTAAGTTGACGGTGCCTTTAAACAGCTTGGGAAATTCCAGAAAATGATGTCATGGCTTTAGAAGCTTCTGATAGGCTAATTGACATAATTTTAGTCAATTGGAGGTGTACCTGTGGATGTATTTCAAGGCCTACCTTCAAACTCAGTGCCTCTTTGCTTGACATCATGGGAAAATCAAAAGAAATCAGCCAAGACCTCCGAATTTTTTTTTAGACCTCCACAAGTCTGGTTCATCCTTGGGAGAAATTTCCAAATGCCTGAAGGTACCATGTTCATCTGTACAAACAATAGTACGCAAGTATAAACACCATGGGACCACGCAGCTGTCATAATGCTCAGGAAGGAGACGTGTTCTGTCTCCTAGAGATGAACGTACTTTGGTGCGAAAAGTGCAAATCAATCCCAGAACAACAGCAAAGGACCTTGTGAAGATGCTGGAGGAAACAGGTACAAAAGTATCTATATCCACAGTAAAACGAGTCCAATATCGACATAACCTGAAAGGCCGCTCAGCAAGGAAGAAGCCACTGCTCCAAAACCGCCATAAAAAAGCCAGACTACGGTTTGCAACTGCACATGGGGACAAGATCGTACTTTTTGGAGAAATGTCCTCTGGTCTGATGAAACAAAAATAGAACTGTTTGGCCATAATGACAATTGTTATGTTCGGAGGAAAAAGGGGGTCTCTTGCAAGCCGAAGAACACCATCACAACCGTGAAGCACGGGGTGGCAGCATCATGCTGTGGGGGTGCTTTGCTGCAGGAGGGACTAGTGCACTTCACAAAATAGATGGCATCATGAGGAAGGGAAATTATGTGGATATATTGAAGCAACATCTCAAGATATCAGTCAGGAAGTTAAAGCTTGGTCGCAAATGGGTCTTCCAAATGGACAATGACCCCAAGCATACTTCCAAAGTTGTGGCAAAATGGCTTAAGGACAACAAAGTCAAGGTATTGGAGTGGCCATCACAAAGCCCTGACCTCAATCCTATAGAACATTTGTGGGCAGAACTGAAAAAGTGTGTGCAAGCAAGGAGGCCTACAAACCTGACTCAGTTACACCAGCTCTGTCAGGAGGAATGGGCCAAAATTCACCCAACTTATTGTGGGAAGCTTGTGGAAGGCTACCTGAAACATTTGACCGAAGTTAAACAATGTAAAGGCAATGCTACCAAATACTAATTGAGTGTATGTAAACTTCTGACCCACTGGGAATGTGATGAAAGAACAGAAAGCTGAAATAAATCACTCTCTCTACTATTATTCTGACATTTCACATTCTTAAAATAAAGTGGTGATCCTAACTGACCGAAGACATGGAATTTTTACTAGGATTAAATGTCAGGAATTGTGAAACACTAAGTTTAAATGTATTTGTCTAAGGTGTATGTAAACTTCCGACTTATATAATGTTATTATGGCCTTGTGCCTGCAGAGAAACAAACAAACAACTATTACAAGAGGGAGGGAAAGATAAAAAAAAAAAAACAAGGCATCTTTGCACTCTCTCCTCTCAGAGGATCATGGGAAACGACAGCACTCTCTCCTCTCAGAGGATCATGGGACACGACAGCACTCTCTCCTCTCAGAGGATCATGGGACACGACAGCACTCTCTCCTCTCAGAGGATCTTGGTAAACTGTTGACATCATCTTCTGCCATCTCCTTGGCGAACTCCAGGTCCTGCTATCCTTGCCAGTGATATATGTGACTACGACAGGCTGATCATACGCACACCTACAGGGAGATACACAGTGAGAGATGGTGTTAAAGGTATACTTCAGGATTTTGGCAATGTATGCTAGCATGCTAGCAGATACCCATAGACTTCCAGTCAACACTAGTTAGCATTGGCTCACGAAACTAGCTCTAACTTCCTTCATACTGGACACAGACACATACAAATGGTATCCACAAGTTTATCTATCCCTTTAAATATCAACAAGTCATGCAGGTATTACAAATGAAGAGCTATGGCCAAAAACTGTTAAAAAGAAGAGGAAGACATTTGAAAATGTGAAGTGAAAGACTTGGCCACTGACCTGTCTTTGAGTGCATACATCTTTCAACTTTCAAAGATGGAGAGGGACAGTTCATGGCTTGATCAGTGGAAGGTGGTCAGGGAGATCGTTGATGAAGATTAAGTCTGGTGATGATCTTGTAGAGGGTTACTGGACTTCTACTTCACCCACTTGGATGATGCCTCAGCAGCTCTGTGTGCCAGAAAGCTCCCCACACACAGTTCAGAGTAGTAGCCACTAGTATTCTGGCTGCAGTACAGACGATGATGACAGAATGGCGCCAGAGGAGATGGCTGCCGTTTTACGGGCTCCTAACCAATTGTGATATTGTGTGTGTTTTTTCGCGTTATTTGTAACTTATTTTGTACATAATGTTTCTGCCACCGTCTCTTATGACCGAAAAGAGCTTCTGGATATCAGGACAGCGATTACTCACCTCGTACTGGACAAAGATTTTTTCTTTAACGAGTCGGACGCGAAGGATTTTCTTCAGACTCCCGACAAGGCCCAAATCCCCGTCATTCGCATGAGAAAGAGACAGAGATATCGGGGACGTAGGTCGGGTGCCTTGTAAGGATCCGAACGGTGAGTAATGTGCCTCTACCATCAGTCCTACTAGCCAACGTACAATCATTGGATAATAAAATAGACAAACTAAGATCAGGGATATCCTACCAACGGGACATTAAAAACTGTAATATATTATATTTCACCGAGTCGTGGCTGAACGACGACATGGATAACATACAGCTGGCAGGATATACCATGCATTGGCAAGATAGAACAGCTGCCTCTGGTAAGACAAGGGGTGACGGTCTGTGTATATTTGTAAACTGAGGTGGAGTATTTGCTCGCCTGAGGTGGAGTATCTCATGATTAGCTGTAGACC